CGGAAGGTATGTGACAGAGCAAACTTTCTTTCTTCAAAGCACTCCGCAAAGATTCAGAAGCGTCAAGAAATGCAACATTTGTTTCTGTGGCAGAATCTTTCGGCAAAAGTAGTGGTGTAGGCCAAGATACACAAAGGAAAGGAATAAATGAAAATGAAAAGACCTGCATTGAAAAGACCAGCTAGGACGATGGCAAAAGCATCAGCAACAGCGAAGACAGCCAATTGACTGAAGTCAGGGAATATGCTGTTGCAGTTTTAAACATCAACAAGAAATAAAGCGGGCTTATGATTTTGCAGATGTTGTACTTGGTAAAAGACTATTGGCTAACCTAACGGATGAAGACAAGTACAAACTATCTGAAATATCATTTTAAGCCAAGTGCTTCTGAAAAACTCTTTTCATTGAAGATAAGTAGGAATGGGAAAAAGAAAACGCTATTTACAGTCCAGACTTGAACAGAGGATTGTGTAAACTGTGTGTCTTGTTTGACAAAACTTATAATAAAGCCCAAATAGGAGCATTTGTTGCTTCAGCATTCCAAAAGATACAGAAATCAGAACTGATCAAAGCCCATGCAGAGACCCACTACCACAAAGTTGCAGTTGCCCAAGGTTCCAATTTCATGAGGACATTCTTGCATCCAGAAAACAGTGCTGAGGCTGACAAAACTTCAGAGCAGTACTATCCGCCAAACCAGCACATACTTGCAACAATAGTTGATGCCATCCTGCTTTGTGCCAAACAGAGGCTCTCACTGAGAGGGCACAGGGATACGAAAGTAAATGACATGGGCGAAAGTTCAGAAAACAGAAGAAACTTATTTGCGATAACAGAGCTGATTGCAAAAGATGACCCTATTGTAAGGGAACATTTGAAAGACAGTCAACGAAATGCAAAGATGTTATCAAGGAAGACCCAAAATTACATTATCGCAGTATATCAAATTACATGCAGCTTTAGTTATAAAGAACCAGATAAAGGATACGATATCAGATAAATATATGATTTATTTTTACACATATACTACTCTCAAGATACCTTTTATGCTGGGATGAACTCTTGCATCAACATTTCAAAACTTACATGAAATGATCAAGCAACATAAATCATTATTTTAGGTACAGTTCTTATGATGATGTCCTGCCCTAACTCAATACATGTTCTATTATTATCTTTATCCTCTCTCGGTAAAGACATGATTTAATTTGTATCCTGTCATTTCTGAATTCTACAAATGGCAATACCATGCAATTCACCGTACAAATAAGAAATAAACGCTGGTGTAAGCTTCTTCAACTAGTTTTCTAAACCCTTCTTGCGGCCATATGGTTTTGCTGATTGTTGGGATCATGTTCCTGCCATGAAATAGGCCAAGCCCATTAACTGTAAATGGTTTTTGAGGCCATCATATGCGTTGAATGAACTTTACCAGTTAGTAGTAGAGAAAAGGAAGCTATTAAAGAAAGCCCACTACTAAAACAAACAAAAAATTAATATGAGAGATAAAGAAGCTGTACCAAAAAGCAGCATTGTAACACAATATTTAAAAATCTTTTGAATATTTGAAAAAAAGTAGACAAATTTTCTGTCAAAAACCCTTTATTGATAGCATTTAATTGCATACATGGACTGGTTAATGTGAGAGCTGCTTGTTGAGCGAGATGAATCCTTTGAGTCCGATAAAGATAGGCTTGAGTTAGCTCAAAACCGATTATGAGTATAACGGATACTTTTATTCAACTCTCTAAGATTCATCAGGGTAAAAAAAACTCTATGTAAAAAACGCTTGCTGCAATGGTACTATAGTAACTGTCTTAGCAGGTTTATCACTAGAGTTGATTAAACTGATTGTGCCAGAGGCATAACAGACTGAAGTTACTCTTGGTACAAAAACCAAAGACCTCCAACCTTAAGGGCCCCCAGCAAAATTTGTCTGTGTTATTTTATTTTGAGGCTGGTGCACTGGACATGATAAACGAGTTAAAGGGGCCCAAAGCCTGCAGCTATATCAATCCAAATAAATGGAAGTTCTGAAAAGCATAGCATTTGACTCTTTGTCTATACTATCTTACTGCCCCTGTTACAACACTGGACTGTTTCAAATAAAGTTTTTGATCTTTCTCTGGGCATTATGGCATTTCTCTGGGCCAACATTTAAAGGAAAGTGGCACAACATTTAAAGGAAATTATAAAAGGTACAGCACTACTCCAGAAGATTTGTTATTCCTTTATGATCACAGCCATTTTTTGAGTTATTTTATAGGTTCCTAAGAAGTATATCCTACAAGGTATTTGTACGAATGGTTTATAGCCGTTTAGGAAAGAAAAGAATTCCTCTACCCTCATGTGTTTATGCTCCAATTCGAAGACAGTTCCCATTAGAATATGGAGAGACATTGTGGTTATAAAAATGATGAACAAGATCTGACATAAAGTTACAAGTACATTTAAGAAAACGGACAGTGATGTTGTTTCATTGGAACACTGCACTTCTTGCACATTGGCTTCCGCCTTTGTTTAACTTTGCCTGTTTCTTGGCCAGTACCTAGTAAAATAACTTTACATGTAATTATTTTTGATGATTGTTTTTAAAAACCAGATGGTGTTGTCTTCCTCATTTTTCAAAATCAGCACTTGCTCTTGGGACTTAACTGAGCAGCGGGCCTTTTTGGTTTTCTATCAACTTCAACCAGCAATATAAAGGCAAAAATAACTGTTTAGAGGTAGATTTGCAAGCCTTGTTACATTTTCAAAGATAGAAACATAACAAATTGTTGAGGGGGTCTAGGTAAGGCTAGTAAAATTTCTTTCTCGCATGACATAAAATAAATTTTTAAAAACATTTGTATGTTGTTAAATCACATCACTCAAATTTCAGTTAACAATCACTCAAATTTCATCAACTGATAAACAAACCAAAGCCACCAAATGTGCAAACAATAAAATACACACCTTGTGAGCTTGGAGGTACATTAGGCACTTTCATCAATTTTCGTGCATAATGTTGGGTCACTGCCTGATCCTTTGGCTGTTTTTCCAACATTACATTCATTGGTGGTGGATAGAGTCCCTTTAATTGTTTTCTAGCATTTGCCAACTCTTTTTCACTTGCATTCATAAATACTTGAAACAATTCATCTATGTAGCCTAGAATATAAATAAAAAAAACAGGTCTTTAAACTTTCCTCAACTTAAAACCTACTGGAATTGAAAAAATGGAAGCATCAAAGAAGGAGAGAAAGTGTTCTTTCTCTCTGATGAAGCCTTGTATTGGTGTTTTATTTCATATTTTCTCAACATTATTCTGCGCTACTCATTTTTTTAGTATTTCATCTCCTTTTGTAGCAATAATAATAATAATAATAATAAGACAAATATTTACAGAGGATGGCCTCAGTCACTCGAGGGTGCTTTTCATGAGGGTCCTCTATTTAACTAATTATATCGATTTACTAAAACATTAAAAAATTAAAAAAGTTCATCATAGTGGATAAAATCAGTTCACATTGTCCAAAACCTTTGTTTGAATATATTAAAAGTTCCTGCCAACTTAATGTTTGTGTCCAGTTTATTCCAGTCATCAACAAACAGATAGGATGACACTTGCTTCCCCCAATTTGTCCTTACTTTAGATAGATGGTATTGCTCTTTGTTCCTTGTCTGGATGTTATGCAAATCGTGTCCTGTTTTATTGCTGAAAGTGTAACTTATATCGTTTTTTTTCGACTTGTAAATGGTGGCACATCGATGGAACTTTCGTCTGATATCTAGAGATTTCCAGTGCAGTAAATTTAAGGCCTTCGTGCTTGAGTCATTTGGTTTCATGTTCAATACCAGTTTGGCGCATTTGTTATGAAGAACTTGCAGAGACTTCATCGAACATTGGTTATTTCTATCCCCCCAAACAGTATCTCCATAATCAAACAATGGTATTATCATAGTGTTTACCAAAGTTAAACGTTGTGCCCTGGGGATTAGATGACTAATTCTTTTTAACAATCCTATTCTTTTTTCTACTTTTTGCTGCAATGAAGCAATGTGATCCCCCCATGTCATATTTTCATTTATTATTATACCAAGATATTTATAATTTGTTTCTCGACTTAGTTCGTCCTCTTTGATTTTCAGTGTCATATCTTTGAAACGCTTTAACTGCTGCTTTCCTCCAACCACAACAAACTTTGATTTAGTGATGTTTAACGTAAGTCGATGGTCGTTTAGCCATTCTTTCACTAGAGCCAAGTCCTCATTCATCTTATTTTGGATTTCATTACAGTTTTTCCCCGAGTAATAGATAACTGAGTCATCTGCAAACAAGATTGTGTTCGAGTATTTTAATGATAACGGCAAGTCGTTGATAAAAACAAGAAAAAGTAAGGGACCTAAAACTGATCCTTGAGGTACTCCAATCGTTACGTTTCGTTTCAGTGAGAGAGCGTCCCCAACCGACGTTTGCTGTGATCTCTGACTAAGATAGGAGCGAAACCATTTCAGACAAGCTGTAGAAACACCATATTCTGTCAATTTCCAAAGCAACAAAGAATGATCGACCGTGTCGAAGGCTTTTTTCAAATCTAAGTACACAACACCAGATACATGACCTTTGTCCATGCTTTCAAGGAGGCTGTCCGTAAATTGTAAAAGAGCAGAGCTTGTAGACATTTTGTTTCTAAATCCAAACTGATCTTTGAAGAGGAGATTGTTTACTTGCAAGAATTCGTAAAACTGCTTATGAACTGCTCGCTCGATTATCTTGCTTATTGTAGGTAAGATGGAAATGGGTCTATAATTGTCACAGTTACTTTTATCTCCACTCTTGAATAAAGCTACAACTTTTGCCGATTTCCAGTTTTTGGGAAATTTGCCTTCAAGAAATGATTTGTTTATTAGGGCTTGTAGAGATGGTGCAATGATGTCAGCGGAGTCTTTCAATAACCTTGCGCTGATTTTGTCTAAGCCAATTGCTTTGTTTGTTTTTAAGTTTTGCAGTTGGATTTTCACGAAATTGCCAGTTGGAAACTCTTATCAGTTTTCTTTTGCAAAATTCCTCTTGCATCTTTATTTCCTTTCCCAAAGGCCTTTGCGATTTTTTGACCTATAGTTGTAAAATGTTTGTTAAACACTTCAGCAACTTGAACTGGTTTAGAAAGGACTTTCTTTCCGGATTTGATAACAGAAACAGAATGGTTGGCTGACTGAGGAAGGGCATCTTTTAGGGATTTCCACATACGCGAACTGTCGTTTTTGTTCTCATCAATCATTTTGCAAAAGTGCTCTGATTTCAGCCTCTTCTCCGAACGATTTATGTGATTGCGCAAGCTTCTGTACATTTGCCAATGATACAGGGACCTAGTTTTTCGTCCCTTTGATTGATGGTAGTTTCTTTCACGTCTCAGTTGCAGGACTTCATTTGTAACCCAAGGTGTTTTAAAACCTTTTACTCTTTGTTTCTTGATAGGCGCATGCTTATCCGCAACTCTGTTGAAAAGTGATTCCCAATGCGTGGCAGCCTCATCAATACAACCAATTGAATTTATTTCATTCCAAGGCATTTCTTTCAAATCGCTGCAAAACTGTTCTTTGTTAATTTTTTTGTAAGATCGATATTCAATTATGCGAAAAGGTGTCTTGGGAACACCACCTTTCAGAACGCAAACAACGATGCTGTGGTCACTCAAGTGGGTATCATTCACTTCCCATTGAACAACTCTGTGTTTATTGTTAACGCAAATGAAGTCTATTAAAGTTTCTGAATATTCAGTCACCCTTGTCGCCTTTTCAATTATTTGATGCAAGTCATGAGACAATAAAAATGATTTGAAAGATCGCTGCAACTTGGAGCCCTTTTTACTGGAAAAATCAATATCGAAGTCTCCCATAATAACAAACTCGTTTTTGGATGTGTCGAGATTTGTAAATGAGTTGCTCAATGCTTCAATAAACTTGTAAGGGTCAAAGTTCAAGGGTCTGTAAAAAGTTCCGATGATCATTGGTTTGTATCGCGATCTTTCAATTTTTATCAATTTTCCCACAATATCAGCATCTAGTACGTTTTGTAGAGGTACAACTTTCAGGCAACTTTTCACGTAAGTAATGACTCCACCGCCTTCGGATTTACCCTTCGTCCCTCTGTCCTCACGGAAGATCGAATAACCCTCAATTTCAAGCTCGTCATCATCAATATCTGATGTTAGCCAAGTTTCAGTTAAACCAAGTACATCGAGAGAGGTATGCTGAAGTAATTCCTTCACAGAGTCTAACTTATTGTATAGTCTGTTTATATTCAGATGGGCTATTTTCAGGCCGCGCCTTAATTTTGGGAACATATATTTGGGCCCTCCTGCCTCATTTGGTGTATCATTTATCGTTTTTCCAATGATTTGATCTGTGAACGTATTTGGAAACAGGCAACGGATGCAGTCCCATCTAGCACTAGGTTTTCCTAATTCTTCATACTCCACGTTTGACATGCCGATACACTTCGTATGGTACCATGAATCGCAGCAGTCACACAATATTGCCTTCGTTCTGCATCCTTTAGAACAAATTGAGCAAGGATCTTTTTCTCTTCTTGTCGGTCCTGGGTTCAACTGTATGTCTCCCGATAGTAAGATCAAGTACCAGGCACACATACTCATGTTGGTGAGGCGAAGCACATTTCTCAACTTGTCGCTGCGGGAAAGGTCCTTCCTTAGGCCACTTTTTGACACGCCAGCATTCCTTCGCAAATCGTTTCTTCCAGGGTAAGATTTAGCATCCAGTTTCAAACTTAGACACGCAAAACAGGCTTTACATTTTGCAGTGGAGTTTACTTTATACCACTGGGTACTTTGCAATATCAAGGTCAAATACACTAAAAATATCACAGAGCAAAGAATTTGACGTCTGACCTCCATTATGCTTCTATATGACAATGTATATTCTTAATGTCTATTCTTATATTCTAGTCTGACAAGTCTTTTCGTAATGGCTGCACCAATTTATTTGTGTCATCAGCAGAGACATCAAGAGGGGGGTTAGGAGGAGCAAAGGGTTCGAGGCCCCTGCTCCGATGGGGCCTCTAATAAGATCTATTCACAATGAAAAAGCTACTGTTTCAGCTTCTTATATGCTACTGTTAAGTTTATTGCAGAGAAACTATACCAACATGCCCTTGATTCATGTAAAGTATTTTTGCATATTCTTGTAAAAATCTTTAAAAATCTGTTTCAACAATTGCACCTAAAAAGGGCGTTTCCCTTGTTCTCCGGGAGATTTAAAGGCGTGGCCACAGAAATTTTTTTGGGGGCCAAGATTTGTAGATCACCTCCTGTCGACGGCCCTGGTCATAAGACAATGCCCCCTTCCCCCAGTGACAACAATCTAGTTTCGTCAGTGACGCCTAGAGACAAAGACTTATTGATCTGGCCAGAATTATTTGCCGATCTTAAATCCTGCCTTTAATAAAATAAATGAATGAACTAATGTAACCTGATAATCAAATGAATAAGAAAATAAAATAAATATAATTTCATTTGCCTTTCGTTTTTCTCTGCAACTTGGTTCTCCCGAGTTCAGCGCTTTAGATGATATCGTTGAACAAAATTCGTCCATTGTTTGCGAATTGCAGGAACTTTAGGAAAAAGATGCAATGAAACTCCCAGAACCTGAGTACTGTTCTTGTAAGATTCTTTGTTTGGTAAGCAAGGGCAACAATCTTTTCTACCTCTAGAACTTTGTTTTTCCATGTCAAATTTTCCACAGATAAATCTATTTGCTCAAGTAGCAAATTTCCTTACATCATCCTAGAAACCTTTATTTGACAATGTTGGAAATGACTAGATATCCTCATTTTTATTTGTAAGTTGTTGTCTGAAAACATTTTAATGACATAGGCAAAGTACTATAGAACAAGGCGAACGAAAAACTTTACATTACGTCAGCCTAGGGCAGAGCGGTTTGACTGCATTTGAAGTATGCCACATTTTGAAGTTCGTAGTGCAGCAAAATCGAGGGTTTGGAGTGAATTATCAGAATAAATGCAATCAAAGTTTAGCAAATGGATACTACAGTAGGAAAGAGCAAAGTGAGTTCTATCGATTAGGTTAAAATCATTTTTCGATTCATAGTACCTTTAACAATACTACAATAACTTATAAAAACTATTCTAAAATCTTGCAGGCTTCTTCTTCCTGCAATTCACTTAATAGAGATATACAGATAGGCCGCATGCACAGAACAGTAATGGGCAACACGATTTTAGGATTTGATTTCCAAAATACAAGAAACTGTAACTGTCACTCCTGCAAAAGCATCACCAAGTTATGAGATGTCTTTGGCTGGAATATTTAAAATTAATTTGTGCAGAAACATTGCCTTTTTTACAGAATCCACCAATTTTTACTATGTTCATTATTGTTTACTCTTTCTTATAGGGTATATCAACAGTCTACTGGATCTGCTCTGTGACAGGGTAGTCTCAAACCCCGGCCCATTCCAAGAGCTGATCAATGAAATCGTCGATGCTAAAAATCCCATTCCGAGATGCTAAAAATTTGTGTGATGCTTACAAGAGACCTTCTTTTTCTGTGGCCGTTCTTCTTGCTTTTGGAAAGAAATAAAGGACCATTATTAGATTTACGTAGTGCTTAAAAATTTTGAAGAATAGATTTTTCCGACTTTTTGTTTTGTTGAGACAATTCCTTGCTTTCAGTTCCCCTTTATTTCTTTCATGTATAAATTTAAATACACTAATCTAATGATGGCAAATGAAATCCTTCATATTGCTCTGATGTAAAGGCATCTCTTATTGCTGTTACAACATATGAAGGCAAAACCACTCTAATTTCTTTCCCCAGGTATTCAGGTATTTCCAGTGGTGTCCCAGCACCATTGGACAAAGTGCCTGTAGGATGGATATCTGTATTTTCTAGAAAAAAGGACAAATAATACTACCAGATTAAAAATAATAATGCATCATTATATATATAACAATTCCCTGTGGGTCTATATTTGGTAAATTAGAGGGATATGTTATTATTTTGTTCTTATTTTACCCATGGAATATTGGATCGCTTCCATTTGCTTGAATGGTTTAAATTTTAAACCAGAAGTATTGAAACATTATAAATTATTGATGTATATTGTAAATCTTATCAAAACTAGAAAGATTATAAAGAACAAAAAAAGTAGTTTTACATACTTATTTCCTGTGCTTTGTACCATTTTCCCAGATTGCTGTTACAGCCTGCATATTCAATGGGTTTGTTGCCACTGATTCGAAACCTGGGTGTTTTGTCACGGGGGTAACCTGTCCAGTCTCTTCTCATTTTGCTACAACAGCATCAATTTCTCGGCAGCAAACACAATCTTTTTCGTTCGGCAATTAAATGCAGTTACCACAAGTGCACCGATCAACGCAGAAATTATTAGGGAAAACAAATTGAATGTATGTATGTATGTTTAGCCTTGGATGGAATCCTCTTCGTTCAATTGTTTGTTTGAATAAGCTTTGTTTAACAAATCATCATCAATTTCGTGACTTTCCAGTTAGAGGAAATCTGATAATGCATCTACCTCAGCCATGATTTCAGATTGGAATACCCTGTGTGACGTCACACGCCAAATTGTTGTTGTTGTTTCAGAGCAGAAGTTTTTTGTACTTCCAGTGACAATAAAAACCTCATTTTTATAGGAAAACGCACCCAAACACGCAAAAGACCTATGTAGGGTTTCTTCAATACTATAGGTTGATAAAATTAAGCAAAAAAAATTCCCCTCACTGCACCTTTAAAATATTTCCGTGGTATATCTAAGTGGTAAATTTCAATTAAAATGGTGTACAAGGACATCAACCCCATGACTGAATTCTTTATATCCCATATCCTAAGAGAAAGGAATGTGCAATAATTTCTCGTCAAAAGTGGTTACAGTTATCAATGTGAACATATTTTTCTGCTTTTGTATGACTATTGTTGCTTTTTTTATTTTTTGAAAAAAGCTGTGCTCTGTATGATGCAAAAAAACATTTAGAACAAATAGCAAATTATATTGTACAAGTGCTATTTTGTGTACATAATTTCATTTGATGTCAGGTTCAAAAATAAAAATTCATAGCTCATATTGTTTGTAAGCTAATCCAAATAAACTATTATAAAACTAATTATAAAGTAATGATCACAATTTCTATAAAACTATCTATTACTTACTTTGTCATACTGCTGAGACAGAACCTAATGTTGTTCTTTTTATTTATCTATTTTAGCTGCTTAAACCCACTGCAGGGTGCTAAATATAAGAAATTATTCATACAGAAAGTGCTGAAGGAGACAGAAGGAAATCCAAAGCAATAATGCAAATTGAAAAATATGTAACAATACATCAAAGAGTGCTTGTGTATGGCTTTTTCAACAAAATATGCAACAAAAAAGATTATGCATAGAATCTTCACTTTCATGATTGATGGCTCTTTTATATTTATTATTAGCTAACAATGTTTTTATGGCAATTAAAAACAGGATGAAAAATTAATATTATGGTAAACTTTATGCATCATGAGGGGCTAGAGGAAAAGAGGATACAATAATATCAAGAAAGTTGATGCCCTTTTAATATTCAACTGTGCTTTAATTTCCTTTTTGGAGAATTAAAGAGATCAATGAAAAAGGAGCTTACTGGCACAACACACATAACAGATACCAAAAACAAAAAGAAGTGCGCAAACAAGAGAGCCCTTAAGAAAAATAAGGTTTTCAAAGTAAGAGAAAGTAGAGTCAGTGAGAGAAAATTGATGGAAAGCTGGATTTTTTTCTTAAAGTGCAAGGGATAAAATGACAGTGACAACACCTGGGAGCCAGAGGAGTTTTTCGATAAAGAACTTGTTGATGCTTTACTGCAAAACATACAATAACTCAATTATAATTATTGTTCTTTAGCTCTGAGCTGCACCAGTGATGGAAATTCAGGCTTTCATTTTGGGAGGGCAGGCGCACAATTTTCTGCACTTTAAATACTTTCCAAGATCCTTGCAAATGAGCTTTTCACAATTTTTTACCGACAGTTTTTTAAAGAGTTTTTTTAGAATCAACAGGTGAAGAAAACTATTATTTAAAAATAATAAATCTGAACTATAAAAAAGTTTTCCTTTCACGTGCAGAAAATTTGCAAGTAAACTGAAACTGGACACTAACCTACGAAGGGAGTTTCTTACTTGAAAGGTGCCTATGTTTCTATACACCAATTCATAATGCGGCCTAATTCTTCAGATAACCCTAAAATTGTTGCTTTACCACCTTTCATTTAGTTTGGGTACAATCTGCCATATTTTTATGCTTTCATTGTAGGTTTGAAAGTGCAGTAGGTTTGTAGGTTTGATCGCAATAATTGCTCTGAGTCAAACTTTTTATTCTAATTCCCTAATCACAGTAAAACCCTTTTTAGAATGATTAACTTCATTCTGAATCCAATGCTTGAATTCAAATCTGAAGTCAAACATTTTTTACAAAGAATTTTGAGTAGATTTCATAATGAGGCCAAAGCTGAATTGGTGGTGTATTATTATGTTTGTAATTATTCATTACTAAGGGACATGCCTTTAATTTCATGAATGTGTAGAACTGAATGATAGAAATACATTTGGGCCCTTTAAGGTATGACAGCGAAAATAATGCAACTTTTGAGTTCACTAAAATACAACCGGTCTTTTGGGTTGGCTTCCAGACAGTTGGCGCATAACAATTTCAAGGCCTGTTTTGTGGTAGAAGACATGTCTGGCCTTTTGCTGAGAATTTTGTTCAGAGTTACGCGAAAGGACAATATTTCCGAAGTTCTTGAAGTTCCGAAGGGCTGGTACTGCTAAGTTCTTAATTTTCTTCTTTGAATTCCTCATTCGACATAAAACTCATCATCTTTATGAAAG